ATGAATTCTTGAGTCTATTTTACAATTTGTATAAAAACAATGATGATACAAGATCTCCTATATTTGATAATAAAATATGAATTTGGTTAATAAAAATGGTATGTACGGAATTCTATGATGTAACTATTTTGATTGTATTATCCAAAACTGCTGGAAGATCCTAAAGCTTCATTAATCCATTCTCACGGAAATAGCATCTCTAACTTAAAAGGGCACTCTTAGATATGAAACATTTATTATTATCATAGTTGAAATCATGAGTCCATTGAAGCTAGACCACCATGGAAAACCTGGAAGCACTGTACTGCTGTTTCGTGCTTCCAGGTTTTCCATGATGGTCTAGCTTCAATGGACTCATGATTTCAACTATGAAAATATTGAAATCTCCACAAACCCCTTCTGATCTATAATCATATGCTCAATAGTGACTGACTCAAAGGGATGTTTCCTTGAGTTCTAGTGGGAAGCAGTGACCAGTTGAGTTCAACCAAGTCTGTTGTAGAGATATCAATTCACTAAACACATTTGGTGAACGGTTGCTCAAACATCGTGGATTGGTCGAAGTTAGACATTAACACCGTTGGATACCGATTCAGTGGTCTGTCGGTTAATTGCTCTGGTGCGAGACTGTTAGGTCCTGGGTTCGAATTTCGCGAGTGCGGGATCGTGGATGCGCACTGCTGAGAAGTCTATTGATACAACGAAACGGCCGTCCAATGCCTCCAGGTTCTCCATCTTGGTCTAACTTCAATTGACTCATGATTTCAACTATGAAAATACTGAAATCTCTACGAAGCTCCTTCTGAAAGATCTATTTGTTCAAAGATAATTTTTCGTCATAGTTGAATAAGAGAGCATTGATATTGGTTTCAGTATAGATTGAAACTTGTAGATGGTATGTAATAATGATCTCATACGAGATTATCAGCAAACATTTCTTTTGTTTTCATATGGACATTATCGCTAAACTAGTGAGTTAAGATTCGTTGTCGCATACTTTTTTGGTGGTGGTCATCCAGTTCCATTCCCTAATATCTTGATAAGTTTCAACATCGCTGAATTCAATTATAAAGTTAATCTGAAGTATCTATGGAAACATTTATCGTGATCCTAGTTTCAATCAATCAATCTTATTTTGTACATCAAGGACAAACGCTCTTTAGAATATCATTGAAAGTAAGAGAGAACTAGATAGCCATTTATTTCTAATATGGGACTTCACAGCAGTGCTGATATGACGCCCCACTAGGCATCCAGCTCATTAATATCAGGTCTTGCTAAGAGCGCCCAACCTTTATACAAGTGATTCGATATTTAGGGGGTCTGTAATTCCCACCCAAATCGATCTGTGTTATTGTTCAACCATTTTATTGTGCCATTGGAAATATTAATATAATAATATATTTATTCTTCAATGCGGTATAAATGGTGATCAAGTATAATCATAAATGTAACTAGTTGTATTCATGAGTATACTATACATGTGACTAATTCACTACTTACTTTTTAATATACTTAATTACTTACTTGCGCCTGCTATCCCTCATGAAGGAGCATAGACAACTCACCAACATTGTTTATCCAACTCCATCCTGGACAATCCTTCACAGTTCTTTCGACTTGCTCTTCATCCTTTTCATGTCTGCTTTCGATTCCCGACGCAGTATGCTTCTCGCGCTCCTTTCTTTTGTTTCCCTTCACGATTTCAAGTTCACGATCGACACATGATTCAGTTTGATGGTTTCCTCAATGTATGTCCCACCCACCACTTTCAACGTCTTCTCCTAATTTCCTTCTCAGTTGGAAGTTAGTTTGTTATCTCCCACAGTAGGCAATTGCTTTGCTATAAGTTTATAAATATCTTAATTTTAACCTTTTTCAGTTCAGTAAATGATAAATGTATTATCAGTCCTAGTGTCCCTTTCAAAAGTGGAAGTAAACTCCAAGATACTTGTAACTATAAATAGCCTACACCTTTGTGCATTATATATATATATATATTGGTATGTCAAGCTTACCATGTATTTCCGTATTGAGCTATTTATTAAAAATTGAAATGTATAGTATGGTGTGTGCTACTGATGACGACAGTTATAAGTAGTATGTATCATTAATTATAAAGTGAAATACCTGGCGACAGAAGGTTAAGAAGATCGAAAAAAAGAGAAGGAGAACAGAGCGTGATTGGTGTGAAAACGAAGGAACAATGAAGTCTGAGACAATTGATTGATATTTTGCAAATGAAGTACTTACTGTATGATTCTAAAATTCTACTATGATGTTTGTATTCAAATGTATTCATATACATTCGATTGTCCTCACTTGTAATCTTGTCCACTACAATAGGATTGTGAAAATCTAAGATTTTGAGTATTTACGGTATGTCGTTTCCACGCGGGTTCGAAATAAGAACCTTTCTGTGTGTTAGACAGTTGTGATGACCATTACGGTATTGGATCGAAAAGTAAATGTACATCAAACATCAGAAGGGGTTTTGTGGAGATTTAGTATTTATCATAGTTGAAAGCGTGAGTCAATTGAAGCTAGACCACCATGGAAAAACTGAATACACCGGTCGGCCGTTTCGTCCTATTATGGGACTCCTCAGCAGTGCGCATCCACGAACCCGCTCTCGGGAGATTCCAACCCAGGACCTACCAGTCTCAAGCCCTTAACCGATAGACCACTGAGCTGGCATCCATCTGACTCTCGCTTTCAACTATGATAAATACTAAATCTCCACAAAACCCCTTCTGATAATTAATATAATCATACGCTCACTAGTGACTTCGAGAAGTATATCTAGGAGCTCTAGTGAGAAGCAGTGACCAGTGGAGTTCAAAACCACGTCTGTTGTGAGATAGGAACTCACTGAAGATAATTGGTGAATGGTTGCTCAACTTCGTGAATTAGTTGAAGTTAGACATTAACACCTTTGGATGCCAGCCGGTTCAGTGGTCTATAGGTTAAGTGCTCTGGTGCGAGACTGGTAAGTCCTGGGTTGGAATCTCCCGAGAGCGGGTTCGTGGATGCGCACTGCTGAGAAGTCCCATAATAGAACGAAACGGCCGTCCAGTGTTTCCAGGTTTTCCATGATGGTCTAGCTTCAATTGACTCACGCTTTCAACTATGGTATATCAAACATATTTAAAATCTGAAACAGTTTAAAATCACATAGATATAAAGGGTTTCTTAATTATCACTAATTCAATACAAGATATTGATGAGAGATAATTTTGTAAACGATTGCTGTATTCGCTCCATTTGTGTGTGTGTGTTTCTTAAAATTCCCATGTAAACCAAACCTACTCTCATATATATATAAGCACCAATGACAGACTATCTCACCAAAACCTGATAACCTTACAGTAAACAGTTAATTTGCAAAATAACAATCAATTGTCTCAATCTTCACTGTTCCTTCTACAAATATCAATCCATCATCTCTAGTTTTATTGTTCATTCATTTTCCTACTGATTGCGCTTCCTTTCAGTTCTTTCATTATCGGTTTTCTGCCAAAATACATTCTATGTCTAATCATCATTATATACTACTTATATGGATATAAGTAGACCACACTACAATACTACTAAAGAAAGTCAATACTTGAATTACTTTGGGATCAAAATGAAAAAAAGACTTTCACAACCAGTTTAATATCATAATTGATTTGATAAATCTTTGATATCTAGCTATCTTATATTGTACAATTACTGAAGATCTTTTTCATTTATGAAAAACTAGAATACAAACATAGGGATTCATATATAACGACAGACCACCTACAAACATAAGGCATATAAACTGGATATAGGTTTGACAAATCAAAGTTAAAATATTCACATTACATCAGGTTGTAATATATATACATATATATTCATTTGAAACATTTTAAAGGATAAATTTGTTTCAGCGAAATCCCATACACTCCACTTTTTAATTTTTTGTTTTCAGTTTTGTAAATTCCCTAGAAACTAGACAAGTGAATTATAACATAAGGAGTATTCTATTGATTTCATAAATCAAATAGATATTTGTAGGGGAAAAATATAATATCATCATACTATACATTGTTATTTAAAGTAAGTTCTTAACATAAATTCACATTATCTAAAGAATACATTTGTGTATGTTGAGGTCTACTGACGAAGAATCTGATGCTACAACACAGAGATTATCAACCCTATCACACATGATGGAGAAGCTTTGGAAGATGTGGAATTTCTCATGTGCCTGGTCAGCATCATTGATGAACGAGGAGAGTCTCATACAGATGTAAAGGCGAAGATTGATAAAACCATGACAGCATTTCCCAAATTGAACAACATATGGAACTCGGAACAACTGTCTCTCAGCCAATATAAAATTCACAACCTTCAATGCAGACAACAAGACATTTCTACTGTACAGACCTGGAACTTTGAGAAATACTACAACCATCATCAAACAAGCACAAGTATTTATCAACAATTGTCTACGTAAGATGCTAAATATCCGTTGGCCACATACCATCAACAACAGCCTATTACGAGAGAGAACAAACCAACTTCCATGTGAAGTGGAAATTAGTATAAAACGTTGGAAGTGGGTAGGAAATCATCAGACTGTATCACGAAACAAGCCCTATCTTGTAATCCTGAAGGAAAGCAAAAAAGAGGAAGGTCAAAGAACACACTGTATCGAGAATTGGAAGCAGACATAAAAAAGATTGTTAGCAACTAGAAAGATCTGGAAAGGATTGTCCAGGATCGTGTTGGATAAAGGGTGCTGATGAACAGCCTATGCCGCTCCACGAGTAGGAACAGCAGTGAACAAGTAAGTAAAAGAACACCTGAATACCTAGTAGTGTTAGAAAGTGGTCTTGTCCTCATTGGAAGGCAATGATCATTCACGGTGCGAAAATAGAATTCGATATCTTCAGTTATTAAAACTTTTTTTTCAAATATTTTCATATCATAATAAATAGTAATTTTTCATTTCATATTGATTTATTTATTAGAGTTGCTATGGAAACAGAAGTAACTACCCATTTAAATTATGCACCGACCTTATTTATCGAAAATCATTCCGATAGTTGTACAAAATTAAATCAAATCATTCATGACAATACTTTAATAGATAAAACACATGAAATCTCTTCATCTATGAAGATGACACCTTTAACAACAATAACAACAATGGTAACAACAACATCCACCATGACCAAAACAGACACATCATCTAATTATGAAAATATTTATGCTTCAACTATAAACAATTGGAATCCACAAAATCATTCAGAAATTGAGTGTTATAAAACAAACTACTTATTAAATAACAGTAGTAGTAAAAATAATCAGAAACAAATAAAATTCGTTTTTGAAAATGGTAAATCTATGTCTTATTATGAATTATTAAAATCTGGTTTTGGTAATTGGGCTAATCAAATTCAACAACTTAGTAATCAATTAAAATTATTAATACAAGATGATTATAATGCAATTTGGGGTTTAGCTGCGTTAATTCTAGTTAATTATAAATCAATCAATTGTAAGTTCCCGTTTGTTTGTTTTTTACTAGTCTTGATTGATGTTTTTCCATTACTTACTGATGTGTTTCAATTAATCATTCGAATCATGTAACTTTGTCAAAGCCCAATGAATGTGCTTCATTAACCCGACAAGAAGTTAGTGTTATGACTTCATAAAAGAACAACAAGGCCTTATCCAATTCGTTATTATTTTATGTCTGGCATTTTTATCACGTGAATCATCCATCAGTCGGAATACGACTTGTCTAATCTTAATACTGTGCCAAGTCAATGACTTTCAACTGGTATGAGCAGTCTAGCGTCCTTACTGGTCCACTATCCGTCTAGCACTTCCAATTGAGTCCAGAACAGTAATTACAGTTTCTGTTATGCGAATCATTTATTTCTAGCTTACTCGGTTTATATACCAGACAGACAGACCCCATCACGCCATAAAATAAAAAATTATATTTGTACAAGATCAAGCTAAATGTGGCTGTGAACGTGGGATACAATAATCAATAAACTGAACATAATTTGGGAACAGTAAATTGTACCGTAATAATCCGTAGGTCAAAATGAAGCTTATAATATGATGAATATAGATATACACAATATAGACACACACCATAAGAATATTTATAGAATAATAGTCTGTTAATAGGTCCTGAGAGTTACCCGTACTTATGTTTTCAATGGGATATAACAGTAAGCAGTCTATATGATGTAACAGTGATGTATTACAACTTTCATAACTATGATTATTACATCAGTTTTTCAATGATAATGTGAGCTTACTCACTTTAACAAATTCAAACTATATAAGAGTGAAAAATGATTTAGTACTACTAAAGGTTAGTCGTAACCAGATTAGTTCAGTGGTGACATTTTAGACTAGAAAGCTAGATGGTACGGATCAGATTCATGCCTAGGTCACCCGTTCAAACAAGATAGTAGATATGTCTTACTTGTGACTGTCAACTAACACAAAATCTAAGTTCATGATTTCTCCTCTATTGACTCTAGACGCTTAACATAAAAAAATATTTTTTTCTCTCTGTTATTCGCTTTCTTATCAGTTACAGAAAGCCTAAAGATATGAACAATAATAAAATAAGCAAAAGCAAAGATCTTGGATCCAAGTTTATCCAAGTTTACCCTTGTGCTAATTAAAAACTTATGCCTATTACCCCTCGTAGAGGAGCATAGGCCGCCCACCGGCATTCTCCGCCCAACTGTCCTAGCCAATCTTTTCCATTTCTTTTCAGTTGTTATTCATCTTTTTCATATCTGTTTATTCCTTCAACTCCCAGGGCATAGTTTAAATGGTCTGAATTATTTTTTCTGGTTAGCGTTCTTTTAGCGAGTTAGTTTTTCTACAGGATGGGGTCGCCAACACCATGCCCAACCCTCCTCCTTTACCCGGGCTCGGGACCGGCAGTAACTCTAAAATAGCTGCAGGCGGAGTTGCCCTTGTGCTACTGAATGGTAATTATGGACAATAATCAACAGAGTTCTATTGACATCTACAACGGGTCATATGGACTTCACTAAAGAAGGTTATTTTTCCTATTTTTTACTAAAACTACTCTGTCTGTTTCTTAGATTCAATCATTAACTATAATCACATGTATTCGATGTAACCCATAGTTTAAAATAAACCTGTAATTATCAGAAGCGTTTTTCTGGAGATTTCAATATTTTCATAGTTGAAGTCATAAGTTAACTGAAGCTAGAACACCATGGAAAACACAGAAGCACTAGACGGCCGTTTCCACCTAATTCAGGACTCCTCAGAAGTGCGCATCCACGATACCGCCTAGGGAGATTTGGACCTAGAACTTCTCAGTCTTGTACGCGAGCGCTTAACCACTAGACCACTGAGCCGGCGATCGATGGAGTTAATGTCTAAATTCAAGGACGAAACGGCCGTCCAGTGCTTCTAGGTTTACCATATTGGTCTGGCTTTAATTGAAACATGATTTCAACCATAAAATAAACCTATGAATCTAAACTAAATGATTTCTTATTGTCAAATGAACAAATATTTTCCATTTGTTTTAGTTATATCAATCTATAAATAGTAAAATGATTAGAATGATTCATTAACGGTACAGTGATTTTGTTTTTCGTTGTTGTTTGTTTTCAGATCTCACTCCATTGACAAATTCTAGTGAAGTCTATTCATTACATCATAGATTTGTTGAAATGTTAAAAAGTCATTGTTGTTCATCAACTCAACATATAAATTTAACAACAAATACACAATCATCCTTACTAGTTGATTCAACTCATACTACTAACAATATAATTAGTAGTACTAATAATAATTCATCTAGAAAAATCAATAAACTTATACCAAATGATCATATAACATCCACTTCATTATTACGTAATGATTCAACTTATTTCTCAAAAGTATTTCAACAAAAAGATGTAATACATGAAATGACACGGGAATATTTAATTCAACCATTACAACGTTTATATGAAATGGATCCAAATACATATATATGGTTAAAAGATATTATAGAAATAATGAAATTATCAGACTAAATAGAGATACTACTATTATTACTACTACTATTATTATTATTATTATTATTGATGTAAATTGGTTATATGCATGATCCATAAAGAAAGAATTGACAGGATCCAGATCATTCTATTTGATCAATAATGATCATATTCTACAAGATGGAGCAAAAACAGAAAGAAAAAATACAGATAGTTACAATTCACAATTATCTTCTTATAGATTATTGATTTCCCACAATAAAAAATTAAAAAAAAACAGTTTTTGCCAATTTTTTTTTCTTTTTTTGTTTTTTTTTCAAAAAATTTCTTTTCTCTTTTTTTGGTATAATCAAGGTTCTATTAGAGAGATTAACCGTTTAATGGACAAATACTGTATTATAAATGATTTAATCAGATAGATAATGAATTATAGAAAGATAAAGACATAACTTATTATTATGCTTTCCAATATATATTGTATTCATTCAAAAAAAAAATAGAATGCAGCTTTTGTTTCATAATTTTCAAAATTATTGAGTATATAAAATTATACTACTTAAAATTCGTGAGTAAGTAAAAGAAAATGATAAAAATGTTTCTCTTTTTGACAACTACTTAACATTATGATTATTATTATTATTAATTAAATAACTAATCATTCACAAGACAATCATTTTATGAAGTTTATTTGTTAAATAATTTAATGAATCTCTTTCATACTATTGATAAAACTACTTTTTTTTGCCTTTTCTAATGATTATGTTCATATTATGTATGGAAATTGGCGAAATTCAAAACTATAAAGATATTTATATTTGTATAAACAGGTTACTATGTGGTCTTTGTGATTTTTTTCAATAATAGCAGTGATTAACAATATGTTATTAATTTATTTACTTCTTTAAAGAAAAGAAAATTTGAAGAAATTGAACGTAAAAGAATTTTCTTTTTTCAAGTTTTATTTGGGGGGGGGGAGGGGGATAATAATTTAACACATTAACATTTAAAGTTGATTTGCATAGTAACAGATATGTTGTATCATGTTTGTGTTCGTTGTTTAGGTGAGTGTGAGAATGATTCAAACTGAAAAGTAGTGAGTATTTGTTTTCTCATTAGGTTATTCTAATTCATCAGCTGCTCATCATTTGAAAGTTATAGTGAGGCATTATATGTGAGACTGGTAATATTGCTCTTACTAAAAAGTCATCTTATAATATCTAATACTATCTATGTAGATAGTTGGATTTTGATTGAAAGATACAAACATGATGCTCTTCATGAGACTGATAGATCTTGGGTTCGATTGCCGCTAGCGGGGTCGTGGATGCGCACTACTGAGGAGTCCCATACCAGCACTAAACGGCCATACAGTGCCTCCAGATTCTCCATGGTGGTCTAGTTACAAATGACTCATGTATTCAACTATAAATCTACTACAATCTCCACAAAAGCCTTTCCGATAAAGAATTGGTTTGTTAATCAATGAATATAGAGGGAATTTAGCTATTACATGCTGTGGCAACTATTTTACAATCAATTTCAATCATGGTTAGTTTTGGTTAAACACTTTTTATCAACTCGTTTAACAAACAATGTTATTTGAACAGTAACAATTCGCGTATTGATTTGTACTATTATCATCACTAGATCACATGACAGACTCTAGCTAACATGTTGATTGAATAAAAATATCTCTCGTTGATCCGTTTTCTTCCCTATGTATATATTTACTCAAATTCTAACATGAGCTTTTGTTTTGTCTTGCCATGCCCTTACGCGATATGATTACACATTTTTCTATACATTCGCTTACTTATAGTTATAAGCCTCTCTGCTTCAAATTCTCTTGATGTGCTCATACCTTTATAATCTGCGCTATCTGTTAATGAAGTGTAGTTGACGCTTCTTTTTGCCTTCCAAATCTAAACATTGTTGAAATTTATATCAGAACGGTTATCGAGATGATCGATTAACGAAGCAAAACTATTACAATGCCATCTTACCTCAAAATATGTAATTGAATGAGCTGATATACTTTCGAAGAGGTCAATGATAGTCGAATTTATTGTACCAGTATACTATTTTATCTGATATATTATTAAAAAAACTAATCATTTTTGATTGGAAAAGTTTTGCCAACTGATCTAAAAACATGTACAGTTAGACAGAATCAATATTTTGCAAAATAACCTACGGTGTAAATTTAAGTACCTTTTTCTTAGCATGAAATATAATCGCGGTTCCCAAACCGATGTTGTTTTAGACGAAAACAAGCCATGCTTTAATTTTAATAACTCTAAGTTGTTTGCGGATTCTGAAAACAAATGCCACCAAATGTCCTGGTACGGACGAAATTGGGCAAAGTCTCTCCCTCTCGAAATGCTCTCACATGGCCACACGTATATAGCCTCTACCAGGGAAGTCCTACTCACTGCCTTCTCGTGGCACTACTGTTGTTTACGAAATTGAGAGAACGAAAAGCGAATGTCCGGCGCTTTAAATGGGTTGGTGGAAAGGGAAAGTCCATCTACGGGAGTTGGAAAACTCTCATTCCAAACTAATAGTGTACATAGACTCCCGTATCTTGAGGGAACAAATGGCGTATTAATCAATCGTTGGTCACTGTCTACCATCTCCTCACTATGCTCCACTGCCTTGTGGATCAGATCTTTATGTCAAAGGCTCTGAGTGTGATCGCCTAAGGAAACCATCTGCTTCGGTTTGGGCACCTGGGTAGTATCACAGCCATCTATCTGGTGCCTCTTTGCACCAATATTTAAGTGTTCAAATAAAAGAAAATGACGATTCTGTGAAGTTTGTAGAAATGTGGTATGATTTGTTTGCCTACTCGTAAGTAGTTTATCTAACTTTACAAAGGAAATATGCTACGAGTTAGAAAAATATTTTTCCCTGTTCAGTACATTTTAATATGAATTTCATATTCTTTAAGATGCTTGAGGTGTTTTCGAAAAAGCGAGTAAAAATAAGCCTTATTGTTACGTCTTCGCTCAATGCATAGATAACAGACTTGTAAGGTCCATAACAAAAGATTGCTGATGTGTTTATTGATATGTTATTATGCGTATATTCTGTTGTGAATACTGTCGTATACACAAACTTATTTGCTTATCAGTCGTTCTTTCGCTTGATATAAATCTAGTTGCATATTTTCACGTGACACCAGAGACAATTAGTTAAACCCATAGCTATCAATTTTATCAGATTTCATCGTAATCAACTATTTCCTAGTTTTAAAACCATATATCGTTGAAACTTTTCGTTCTTGAATAAGTATTGCTTAAACTCATTGTTTATACCCTACATCTTAATTTTTGGGTTGATATCTCAATAATGGCTTAAGAATATCATACTTATTGGTTAGTTTGTTGTTTTTCTTTACTTGTGTACTGCCGTGCTTCGTTAACAGTTCACCCTGATAGCAAGTCTTAACGGTGCGTAATATCAGAAGGCAAAGAGAAGTGGCGACTACATTTTTATTGATAATTGATGCAGACCAGAAGGTTGTAAGCACATGGGCGAAAGATAATGCGTATTGGAGATGGCGTGAAGCCAATTCATTTTAAGCAAGCGTTAATCAACATTTATAGTCAGACAAAAATGAATGACAGACATATGATGAATGAGATACGAAGTGTGCATACACATGCGCTCATACCAAAAGGTAGTCAATGTTAATAAGCGGATAATTAACAAGATCATAATACGACTAATAATGTATAGGCGAATTAGCTTGGCCAGAAGCTAGAATAAAGTATATGGGCTCAACATATAAATTGATACTACACTTGAAAATTACACTCAAGTAATCATTTAAGCTGGTCTAAGTTAGTATTTGTTTAAATGAACACAGCGCAATGATTTACAGATATCTTTGATCATATATCAATCAACGTAGCGAACTATTATTCAGGTATAAGTAGTGTATGTTCTAACCACTGCAGTCGCCAAACCAAATACACTATGGAAAATGTTATTACTTCTTACTCAGAAGTTATATGTATTATTAGTCATCAGCTTAGAAATTTAATTGCGTCTTAACTTTTATCAATCTGCTTGACCCATTCAGTAAGTTGAATCGTCGTACCGAAACCAAATAGGAACTAAGATCAATTCTATTATGAAATTCCACAGTTGAGAATTATGAAATGCAGTCAAAAAATTCATACGTTTTTTCGAAAGATTTATTAACTTGTTTGGCTTTATTCATCGAAATAACGTCTTTGATAACATACAACTAGCTTATATTCTTAAGTTACTCGAAATTAAATACATGGTCTATGTGTTAAGGGCTCTGGCTCGAGACTGGTTGGTCCTGGGTTCGAATCTCGCGAGTGCGGGATCGTGGATGCGCGCTGCTGAGGAGTCTCATAATAGGACAAAACGGCCGTCCAGTGCTTCCAAGTTTTCCATGGTGGTCTAGCTTCGATTGACTCACGCTATCAACTATACATTCATTTTCTCGAGTATAAGTACCAAAGGAGAATATTTTATTGAATGATTCGTACTACTTATAAGTAACTTAATTTCAAATCAAACATTATTTGTGAATAGTTTTTCGAAATATTTACGATGGACCTCTTAATATGCAATCACTGTTATTTCTTGTTTCTAATTTCAAGCAGAGTGATCATTTAATGCCTTAACTCTTTGATCAAACACAAGGGCAGCATTAGTTCAAAAAAGATTGTGTGTGTGCTGATTAATATTGTGTGGTGATTAATATTGTGAAATATAGGTTCAAGTTTTCCTGTTGAATATCTTAAATTGCCTAGAATTTTGATAAAATACATTCCAGTATTCAGTAGCTTAGAGTAATAGACAAATATAAATTCCAGAAACAACTGAGTTCACATCTAGGCAGTTCTGTAAACAAGACTGACACAGATGCTGCTTGGAAAGACATACGAACAGCTGTGGAAACAGCAGTTACATCTATTAGTCATTTAAACCATAGGGCTCCAAAAAACCAATGGATTTCCTCTAAATCTATTTCACTGATGGATTCGCGTAAACTCATCCCATCAGGCTCTGAACATGACGAAGAGCGTAAATAAATTAGATCTAGGTTAACTAAAAGTCTAAGGAACGATCGTGAGCAGTGGTGGGCAACAAAAGCAAAAGAGATGGAAAAGGCAGTGGCTGTAGGGAACACCAGGCAACTATTCAGACTAATAAAAGAAACCGGAATTAAGAAGTCAAGTGTAAGTGAGACAATCTCGGAAAAAGACGGAACCCT